CGTGTTCATATGGAAAATTTTCATCCCGCCTACCTATGATCTCGGCAAATTCAAACGAGATCTCGGCAAGCGGGCCAGCTCGCTTTCTCATATGAACACAATGCAAAATTTTATAGGAAAATAGATAGGCGGCGAGATCATCGGTAAGCGAGACGTCCCGGTAAGCGGGATCATATGAACAGGCCCTAAAAAATTTGAAACACTGTCATACTGTGGAAAATACGGAGAAATTACCTGAAATAAAGTTTGAAATTCGGGCAATCTCTAAAATTCTATATAGTATATGGAGATCTTCGAGAAAAAGCGCGGAAATTTTCTAGAAAGTTTAGAAAACCGAAATTTGCAAATTGTTTAAATTTTTCAGTGTGGATCAGAATAAAAATTATTTCATATAAGAAGTATTTCAAAATATTGCATTGATTGAAACTTTATACACATGTATGAAAAATGTGACGAACACGCCGTACAACTAGCGACCGCCAAGCTGCTGAATAAATTTGCGACGTTAATTGCATAGTCTTCGTCATTGGATTTCAAAATTTTTGGTTGTTGACGTTATATGTAAACAACGAGTTTGAGTGTTTCATCAGGGGATCCAAACACGAGAAAACTGTATGAAACACGAGCGCAAAGCGCGAGTGTTTTATTGTTTTCGAGTGTTTGGTCGCCTGATGAAACACGAGAAACGAGTTGTTTACACAACATCTCAAACGAAAACATTTCATTGGCTTATATATATTATTATAGTATATTGTTGTGTTTTGACTTGAATTTGTAATTAGGATCTCAGTTATTAGATGAAAACCGTTTTTCATGTAACAACAGTGATGGTATATGATTTTTAGCGTGTTTCCTTGCGGTATCCAACCTCAATCATGTGACGAATTAGGGTCAGGTCATTCATGAGAATTATTAATGAGTTTGAGATATAATTACGCATGTTCGATTTTCAAAAATGATCGAATAGATCTGAATCTTTTTGTCTTAAATACTTTAATCAGTTATATATAGTAACTTCTAATAAGCATGCCCATGCATGCATGCATGGATCTTCATACATGCTACCTTGTCCCTTCTATAAACTGTCTGTGACGAAACCTTCGAATTCAAATAATTTATATTGCTGATATTTTTAACTGAACTTACTTGCAATAAAAACAATCACATCAGATGAATCATCTGGCTTGCCATTTACTTGAAGGAGAAAGGTGTATGTTCCATTATAATTTTGATCAACATTGCTTAAAGCCAATGTTGCTGGCTTTATTATGTTAACCCCGGGGAAGACGTCCGTTGTTGTTTGAGGCTCAAAATCAGAAAATATTGCTGCAAGTAACCCACTTCCTAAGCCGTTACTACTTGTGAAAGACCAAGTCCGGTAAGTTGCTTTAGCATCATCAAATGTCCATGTTATATTCCTACTTGATCCATGTGGAAATGTAAGCTTTGTTCCATCACGTGGTGAAATGATCACTCCTAAACACAAAAAATCTAATTTTAAAAAAGTTAAAAATATTATTGGAACAGCATAGATTACGTTTCAGGGTCAGCCAATGTTCCTAGAACTTATCTATTATTGGGTGCTTCACAGACGAATATGTGATGTTTTAATTGGGGTATGGGAAGAGTGCTTAACAATCACGTACTGTCACAAAGGGGAAATCGTGCATGCAGGGGAAAGGGGATGGCTAAAAGACACATCGCAACTGTCGCATGAGATAAAAAAATAAGCAAACAAGTGCAGTTAAGCTAACTAGCGGTATATATGTTTCTAGCCAAGTAAAGAAGTCCGCTTGATCCCAACAGGCGCGGCCGGTGATCTTTCAGATAAAAAATATGACGGAATAAAAATTAGAGACGTTTGCTCAGAAAACATATATCCTGCAAGGCTGCGCATTGTCAAAATTCCACACAAGTGTTCGGATATTTGAAGTTATACTTAGTGACTTCATTGAACTAGGCGAGATGAAATCGCGAAGTTTGTTTTCTGAATGTACAATTGATAAACTTTGCAGCGCTACAGGAAATGGACTCAAGCATTATGCCCATGGAAGATTATAATTGTTTTCATTATACAGGGTGTCTCAAAAAAACCCAAAATCATTGAAATTGACGTATTGTTCGATATTCAATGCCCTAGCACTAAGTTAATCCCACGAGTGCATAAAAGATTGACATAACTGCTATAATGAATGGTAATACTCAGCGTAAACTTGTTATGTCAGGCATAAAGTACTAACCCCACGAATTTACGAAGCATTTTTAAATTCCCATGAGCAAACAAACGTTCACTTTACAAAGATATTTTAATTTTTTAAAACAAATTAATCACCCTGTCAAAATCCTTTGTGTTACGGCATTGAAATTCGAACAATACGTTATTTCAATGATTTTGGGTTTTTTTGAGACACCCTGTATAGTCATATAGAGATTCAAGAATGTGAAAAAGCACCCAATAGTAATAAATATGTTTTGTTCCGTCAGGCCTATATTCCCTAAAACCAAAACCTTGAGTATTAGCTTGTTGTGCTTATCGAGAAAAAAACTGTGACAAATAATCTATTATTTGTTCTGTCTAGTTTAATAGAGTCCTTACCTTTACAAGGAAATAACAAAAAATAGAGACCAAATATTATGGCAAACGTCAAACCAGTCATATCTTGTGAGTATTAGTCTATATGAATCTATAATCAGACATGCAGCAAAGCAAATTCAAATTAGTATGGATTAGATCTAACCCTGGGGCCAGTTTTTCGAAAGCAGATTAATAGCCTAACCCTGGGTTAACCTAAAATTTAAAGCAAACTTTATAAATTTGGAAATGTTTCTTCAGAAATATTGTCTGTATTAGTGGAAGTCTTCTTCTCTGAAGTTTTGAAATAAACAGACGTGTAGGAATACATAAACCAAAACATGCAGCAGGTTAAATTTTAACCGCGCCGAGGGTTAGCGCTAATCCAGATTTAGACAACCGGCCCCTAGATTAAAAGTTTACCCATCGTTTTAGTTTGTGTATATATCTCTCTGCACGTTTGTTTATTACAAAACGTCAGAAAACAAAACTCCGATTGATCCACACAAAAGTACTGAAGAAATATTTCCAATTTTATAAACAAGCTGGGGAATGTTTGCTTTGAATTGTAGGTATATATATTGATTTAGTTCAGTATTTTCGGTACTACATACCTATCTATTAGAGCTCGACAACTGGACTCTGTAGCTTTAGTTGGTTAGAGCGCTGCACCGGAATCGCAGGACCGCGGGTTTGATTCCTGCCAGAGGGACTATATATAGTTACATTTTCCGCAACTGTTCCTGGTTAGGTCTAATAAATGTATAAAAATTCACACTCGAAATTTACATCTACAAAAGTCAAAACCCTTCTTAGATGCCTAAAATCCTGAGAAATTTAGTGTCTTTAGGCGTAATCTAACCGTGGCAAGTTCCGACTGTCCCAGACCATCACACGAGACTGGAATGTGTAAACATTGGGTTGTCAAAGTATTTTATTGAGGGATTACCCATTAGGTATATTTATCTGATATTGAATTTGGTTGCTATATATGAACTTCTAAGGGTGGGATCAGGGGTGTTGGGTTAGGTGGGGTATTGGCAAAATCTTCAGATAATGGACACCCTGGGATAGAAACTTACATAGCTATACACTTTTCAGTTTTCACATACAATGAGGTGAGAAAATGTAGCCCGTGCAAGAGCTTATATACATTTTGTATTAATTCAGGCTGATTAAGCTGTTACTGCATATATAATATAGTTAGTTCTTTGCAGATTTTTGTGTTAACTGTTCATCTGAAATTTATGGTAGCTACTTATGTAATTGTATTTGACCTCTGAATGAAGTCAGTTAGGAGAGCCCTTCCACTGTGTCTTGGATACATATCTAAATTTCATTGAGATTACATAACTTAGTACACAAACCAGAGTCAGAGAACGGAAATATAACTACATATAATATATAATACGTTTTCATACGAATAGTACCAATAGTCAATACTGAATCACTCAAAAGTCTATTATAATATTACATAGTTACTTACCTGCTTAACAAATATTCCTGTAAATTGGCCACCTAAGGCTATAATATGGTGTGTTGTTTTGTATGGTGTAAAGTTCTTCCGGCTTTGATAGCAATTGAAACTTGATATGCAAATATGAGACACACTTCCGATCCTGCCTCCTGTAAAACTTTAATTTTTTTAACCTCGGATCCGCCAGAAATGCGTTTTCACCTAGGTTTTGTGACTTCGTGTCCATATTAGTTTGTGTTTGTACGTCAGAAGGTAAATTGTGGAATCAATGTCATATGCCAAGAACAAATCCATCAAATTTTGGTTGAATTACAAAAGATTTTCTGCTTGACTGGGCTGGATGGGGGAGGTCCAGTATTCTGCATGGATATTGCTTATAAGATACATGAAATTCATTACATGTAATATCTTTCATATGTTAACTCCTTGTCGACCATTCCCAATCCCAAATGAATTTAATGCTTGAACAAATTCCATTCACGATCAACGTTTTGGACTCTTTGAGAAGTGTAGTGTCTTTTTTAAAGCAATAAAGGTCTAAAGTCGCGCGCTAGATAGCTGGAGTATTGAAACAATAAGTTGTGATTCAAGAATGAATTTCACTGAACCTGAGAAATTCAGTATTAATTTAGTTTGCCGACAAACCATGGGACTATGAAACGTGTCTAATGTTACACGGTTGCCATGAAATTTAATGGATAATGCATAATTCAGATCATACAAATATTCCACCAGTCTATCATAACAAATATTACATAGTTATACATATATACCTGTTATAAGTATAGTATTCTTGTAAATTTATTTTTACAATACCTATAGGCTAATACCAGCTGTATTGTCGCACTGTTCAAAATTGAGAAGCACAAAGGACGCTACAATATTCTGTGGGTTCTATTTTCTTGTTTGATATTTGCCACGATGAATTGTAAATAAATCTTTCGGTTTAACCCAACGTAATGTGACCAGAGTCGGCAAACTGCGAGCCATACTTTTATTTGTATGTACAAAATCAATTGATTTTGCACTAAACTTATAACTACCGCATATCACTCAACGACAGCGAAAATTGCACTACACCAAAAATTTTGGTTGCAAAATATTTCTAATTTCTAATATACTGTTTTGGCAATGAATGCATGGTTGCACATTGCCGATACACCTTTTCGATAATTACGTCACACATACTTTTTGGTCCTGGAGCCTCGCTCTCATTAGTGAATTACGCAAGGTGATTGGCTCACAATTCATGAGAGCGAGGCTCCCAGGTCAAATGGCGTAATTATCGAAAGGGTGTATGCCATTTTATTATTCAAATTTTCGCTGTTTTTGTCTTCGCAATGAATGGGATATTGTCTTATTGAGACATGAATTGGAAGATATTTAGCCGTCAACATTGGCTGATTTCCGCATGAAGCAAGTAGATGACAAAAGAAAAAAGTATAATCAGAGAAACTGTTTATTGGAGACTATTACATCAAGAGCGACATGTCATTTATCAAATTTTGTATAAAGGGAAAGTAGTCTCAACATATAATTAAAAACCTGTTTCCCAGGTTCATAATTCAGGTTGTATATATCGGTAGAAAATTTCTCTGAACACCTTGACAATATTTTACTAAACAGTTGCAAGGTTAGCATATATTAACAGCAGTTGTTGCATGGTAACTAGCATACAGTTAGCAGTTAAAAGTGGTGGGGAAACTCGGTAAAATGCAACTTATTCATCCATGACTATGTTTATCGTCACATGTGTATAGTTTCTCCACTCAACCATTTTAAATTAACCATTGTGTTATAATGTCATGAATATAGATGATTTGACCAAAACACTGCCGGTTATTGGTTGAATTACATGCAGGCTGTTCCATTTACTGTTCGGAGTAGGGACAGCCAGAACAGTCATGTGACTTGAAAGTAGGGGCAGCCAGAACAGCCATGGGATGCGACCGTTTTCGGTTCGATTATCTGGAGTATCCCGAACAGTAAATGGCCGGAGTGGCGGCCTGTTGTAGACAACATGCACAAGTAATATTCATGTGACTATAGTATATATATATATATATATATATATATATATATATATATATATATATATATATATATATATACGTATACCAGCACAGATATAAGAAATGGACCGACAGGACCATTCCAAAAGTGATGGGGAAAACGAACGGGGAAAAATCCATATACAAGCAAAACATTTTATAAGTGTATAAGTAGAGTTATCGTAATTTCCAGCTTGAATTCCAGCGTCATGACTTACAGCATTCACTCTCAACGACTGATAATTATCTTCTCTGTTCATTTTTGTAAGATCAAGCTCTTGATAAGTTGTATCAGCCTCAGTTATCTTTGGTTCAGGGTTTCGATCAGGGTTTCTGTTTCTCTACCAACGACGATGAGAACACTAGACAATGTAGGAAAAGAGAATTCCAAGAATAAATCCAGACACCAAAGTCACAACAATATGCCATACTACAACAGTTCCACTACTCTCACAATCATCTTTAGAACCTGTAGCCTCTCCTGAAGGTAAATTTGGAGAATTGACGAGTTAGAAAATAAGCTAAGAATTTTCAACTGTGTGCAAAGGAATTGACAAGATGCTAATGAGAGTGTTGCACATGGTCATAATGTTAAATTTGTTAAAATAGACCAATAAATTCTCGCAATTATAGTCCTCACTGGAGGAAATGAGTAACTTGAACGGGGACTATACTTTGTTGATGCATGGTGAATAATTGACAACACTTGTGAAAAAATCTCTAAATTATTTTTTCGTATTCTTCAGGGCGGCTGTAATTTTGTTTCACGTGTAAAATAAGTTAAGATATGATCCATTACCGTTCTTTGGGGTCATGCCGTCACAGTTTATTGCTTGTATTTCGTATTGTTGGACTTGTTTCATGGTGTTTGTATCAAGTTGTATATGTATGTGTTGTGTTATTATGTGTTATATAACTAAATAGTTGATATTATACTATATAAATAATTACATCTACAGGTGATATCTTCATTTTCGATACCCTGTATCCGAAACTAAATCATAGTAATATACCCCAATTCAAGCCAAAATTTATCTGTGTGTTATTGCTCGCCCCCTGTATACACGCTATTTGTTTTCTCTTGCCGTGTGTTCCTCCCCACGTGCGTTTTCGTCTGATGATAGAATGGGGAAAATATGTCTTAAAATCTTATCTTATACCTTTCACATTTAAGAAGCCAGAAGCTGAATAATTTCCATGTTCATCCTTGCCAAAGCATTTATATGTTCCAGCATCACTCCAGGTGACAATAGTAGTATAAATCTTCTCGTTAATGAGCTGAGTATCATTATGGAATATGGTATAACCTAATGGTTCAGGAACTGAACCACGAGATTTAGAGTGTATCTAGCTAAAAGTCGAGGGTCGAGAGTAAAGATCGAGAGTCGAGAGTAAAAGTCGAGAGTCAAGAGTAAAAGTCGAGAGTCGAGAGTAAAAGTCGAGAGTCGACAGTAAAAAGTCGAGAGTCGAGAGTAAAAAGTCGAGAGTAAAAATTCGAGAGTAAAAAGTCGAGAGTCGATCGAGAGTAAAAAGTCGAAAGTCGGCAAATGTCATCAGAAACAACAAAGTCAAAATATTTTTAACCACGTTTAACACAATCTATATATAGCTTTACATAGCCATTCCGTAACAAGTACCAACGGCTGAAATACAAATAATATCGCATTTGATGCCTCAATCTTGCTAAGTGTTTTCACATGTCATTTCATTCTAACTGACACATAAACTCCGCTGAATTTTGACAGCCATCTCCAGGCTTGTAACTAAAATGAGGGTCCTGAAAGGGGGGGTCGTATTCCCATTTCCCAGCCCAAATTTTGACTAAATCCCTATGGGCGTACCGGGCGGGGGGGGAGTAGCCCCCCCCCCCCAGTTTGTTGGACAAACAAAGCCAGTCGGGCAATGTTCGCTTCACAGTCGGGCAACAACGCGGGCACAATCCGAAAAAGTGGGGCAAATTTTTTCCGCCCCCTCCTAATTTTTCCTTCCCGTACGCCCATGTAAATCCCATTGTCCCAGAGCACAAATCCCATCATCTCAGTGGCTGTCCTGCTCAAATCTTGATTCCATTCCCATTTTCTATTGTTTTTTTGCTGATGAATCCCAATCCCAGTGCATAAAATCCCATTTTCCCACCCAAAAATAAGCAAATCCCAGTTCCCATTTTACCCCTTCAGGACCCTCTAAAATGTCACTCACAGTATTCATTAACGTACGTTTATATCAAACGAGAGCGTATTAAGAAATCCACATTGATCACAATCGATGTAACGGTTCATACAATTGTGAATTCATAAATACGAGCCAGTAAAAATAGGATTGTTTTGTCGTATGTGTGACTCTATCGGGTGGTCATATGTCTCGCACGTGATTGTAAAGTCCTAGTATTTATATGTAGCTTCACCTATGTGATATGAGTAATTTTTCGCGGAAATAGGTGCATGTAAAAGCGGGAAGGATGGACAGTAATATATAAGGAAGCGATAAAACTAGTTATTAGATAATAGTTATTATTATTGAATGTTGTGGCTAAATGTTTGCGAAAGTTTTTGTTTTATATTATACTGGATTATTCCTTTGATTGTATATGCCTCTTGTTTATTTAATTTCGAGAATTTGAGCATGTTCCGATATAGGAAATGAAATTAGTTCAGCCGTCATAAGCGTACGAGCGGGAAAAAATCAGGGAGCCAGAAAGAAAATTTACCCGACTTTTACCCACTGAATAAAATTTTCCGTGTAACTAAATTTCCAAAATTGTCGTTGGGAAGTAGACAAAAATATTTTTCTATTTGTCGATTCCTCGTTACTTTTACATATTTCTGTCTGGTATTTTCAAATACCATATTGCATGTACTGTCTTCTTTTTAAATTTATTTCCCCCAATTTTTGCCCGAATTTATACGTTTATAATTTGCATGACTTTATTTTGACTGGGGGGCGGGACTGCCTCCCCCCCCCTCGCCCATACGGCTATAATCAGCTGTTGTTACGGATCGGTTAATATATATTGTGTTAAAAATATTTTGACTTTGTTGTTTCTGATGTCAATTTTGCCGACTCTCGACTTTTCAGTTACTCTCGATCGACTCTCGACTTTTTACTCTCAATCGACTCTCGACTTTTTACTCTCGACTCTCGACTTTTTACTCTCGACTCTCAACTTTTACTCTCGACTCTCGACCTTTACTCTCGACTCTCGACCCTCGACTTTTAGATACACTCCGAGATTTACACGTTATGGTAACTGATCTGTCAAATATAGCTGGGTTTTGTGTGAATTCAATGGATGTGTCTTTTGGTTTAACTGTGAAGAAATGAACTTTTAAAACAAACATGAATTTTTAACATCTCACCTAACAAAACTGCATGACAGTGTTAAGGGTAATGCGCGGCAACTTCCGCCAGTTATACAGGGTGTATAAAAAAAAGGAGAGCTTTAGAAATCAAGCATATTGTTAAAATTTTAATGCCTTTTCAATTGCACATATGCTGAACCGTGGTAGGTGAACTATTGATAGAGTGCATATACAGGGTGAGTAAAAAAAACTGACACCTTTGTTATTCAAATTAGCCGCGAAGGTATCAGTTTTTTTTTTACTCACCCTGTATTAGAAAAAGGAGACCTTTAGAAATCAACCATTGTTATAATTTGAATCCTGCATGGAGCACTTTGCTAAGCCCACGAGTGCATAACATGCGATCTACGTGCAGTATGCATGGCAGATTGTTCCCAGGAGCAGACAATCTTAAACGTTATTTCAATTTCTAAAGGTCTCCTTTTTCTAATATATGCATCCCATCAATATTTCACACACTACGGTTCAGCATATGTGCAATTGAAAAGGCATTCAAATTTTAACAATATGGTTGATTTCTAAATGTCTCCTTTTTCTTTTATACACCCAGTACACCCTGTAGATCAGTTCTATAAATAGTCGTCACCCATCAGACAGACGTCATCACCCATCAGACAGAATGGACAAAAAGGCTTTGTTAACATCATAGGCCACAATATTCAAACTCCAAAGCATTATCAGCTATTTATCTCTAATTTTTGCACAGCCAGTTAGAGGGTCACACTGCATCCATGCATGAATTGGTTTGAGGAAGGTTAATTAAAGGCAGTA